AACTTGGAATGTGTGTATTTGAAAGATGCTGTTAACAGATCATACCATGTATTTGCTCCTTCTCATAAAAAATGAAAAAGTGAACATGGGAACTAATTGAAATGTAGTCTTTGGCAGTGATGCCATGTTACATCTGATTTAATCAATGCATAGGAACTGACTCCTTAGCTAATGAAAGAAATGCTAGCTAGAAAATAATAAAACATAAAATCTGAACAGCTTAAATTATCATTTTGGTGACTTAAGTGTCTGATTTGAATTTGCAGCAAAAAGGAGCAAAAGAAATTATTAAAAATAAAAATTTGCAAACCGAGTCCAATTCTTCTGCATTCTATTATTTCCTTACATATATAAATAAAAGTGTTGTTATTTTTATTAGCAAATACAAAATATTATGTAATCTTGTGTTCTGCCACCCAAGCTGAACACCTTTGGAAGAGGCAGAGCTGCTGCTGTGGCTCCCTGGTTACCTGAAGCAGCACCCAGTGGCAGAGAGAGCCGAGTGCTGGGTGCAGGGTGTGGGCTGTGCCAGGTCAGAGCACGGGGAGGCTGCCCAGGTGATTGCCCCTCTGGGCACGGGCACCTTGCCCAGCACTGCACCCGCGGGGTCTGAGCCCGCGGGCACCGTGACCCGGGCCGGGCAGGGAGGGGTGGCCTGGCTATCGCTGCCGCTGCTGCTGACTCAGCCTCCAAGTCATCACACTTGTTTGAATAAGCACAAGCGGCGGCTGCAGGTTCAGCACCCTTCGGAAAGGTTTCAGAAACACGAGGGGAGAGCCCTTGTGTCCGCTGCCAGTGCTCAGAGCCTCCTCTGCAGCTCCTGCACGCTGGGGTGCAGCGCGCAGTCCTGCACAACAGGCAGCTGCGGTGGCTGTACTGCTGAAACTCCGAAAGCATCTCTCCAGTTTGTTTACAGTCTGTGCCTGTCAGTTTGACAGCCTCTTTATGACTGAAAATAAATCCTGTTTTATATTAAGTATTTAAATATTTTGAAGATGAATTATTAAAGTGTTAAGAAAATGCTTTTTGCTTGAATTATTTGTAAATTTCTCTCAACAGATGGACGACCTCAGTGGGAGGTAGAAGGGAAAATAATTAGGGAAAAGTGTCAAGGGGTGAGAAACAATTTTTCTTACTTTAGAAAGCTTATTTTTTTAAATGTGAAAGTTGATATTTTCATTGTTGTTCTGAAATTTAGACTTCATTTGTTAAAGTAAGTAGATCACTGACTAATTCAGACAGACAATTGGAGACTTCTAAATTGTCTTAACACTATAAAGTAGCCATTAAGAGGATGCTTTGAAGGAACTGGAAATAGCATGCTTGTTGTGAAAGCAATGAAGAAAAGAACTTGAAAATTAAAAAGCGGAAACTTAAGATAATTTTGCCAATGTGACAAATTACTTCCAGTGCATTAAAACTTATTTTAAAAGCTTAATGATCCAAAATACAGTTTTTTAACTGATAGAAGGTTTTGGTTTTTTTTACTTTGGCAGACAAGCAAAGCATCCTTTAAATGATATGTCTGTTTAATTAAAGCATTATCTTCAGAGCACTTGTGCTTAAAAGAAAATAAAATTCTCCAAATAAAAGTTTGCCTGTACTACTGTTTTACTACATAATGTGCATGAACTTGAAGTTTGCCAATTTCAAAGTATTAGGGTGCTTTAGTTTTATCATAAGAGTTTCAGTTTTTCTGTAATTAATAGTTTCATTTGCATTTAATGTGTAAAACTTCTTTATTTCAACTTTCCTATAGGCAAACATCATACTTGAAGTTCCTCCATACCATAACAAAGCCATCACAGCTGCAGTTCAGGTGCAGTTTTATCTCTGCAATGGAAAGAGGAAAAAAAGCCAATCTCAGCGTTTTACTTACACACCAGGTATCAAATGAAAAATACAAAACTGGCATTTTATTTTGTTTTTTAAAGTGGATATACAAAAATACTCCAGTCTTGTTCCTTTGACAGGTACGTAGGATTAGGTTTGAACTGTTTGTAAAACAGTTACTAAAGCTTGTCTAATTAAAAAGCTGAAATGTAGAGTAATAAGCTCCAGTACTGTGGCTACAGCTAGTTATTTCCTCATTACACTTTCTACACAATAATTTTTGCATTCTACGTTTCTTTGAGAATGATGATGAAGCTGCTGTCAGAAGCTACTCTTGAAATAACTGTCGTGATTACATGATGGATAGTGAGATCACAGAAGAACAGATTTGTGCATTTTTTTCCACTCTCAAATGTCAAAAAAGAAAAAAAAAAACAGGTTTAGATACAAGGAAGGTCAAATGATTTTCCCCCACTCTGGATACATTGCAGTTTACTGAGACAAATCAGCTTGTAACTTAGGCAGAAGTAAAACCAGGACATGTTAGCTGAGATGTAGTAAACCAGCCTGTTTCCTCCCACTTGGTGTGAGGAAGAGCTTGCAGCAGACGTGCAGTGCCTGCTCCTTTCCTGCCCCTTGCTTGATTTCAGCTTGTGCCCATTTGGAGCAGTCAGAATGCCCAAGGTGCCAGTGATGGTGGGGACCCTTTGGTGCTGCTTGGAGCACTTGAAGTCAGATATCTGAAGGAGTCTTTAAAGCTGGATACAGATATTAATATAAACTTCTTAAAACTTCTGTATATGCTGACAAAGCCAACTTCCATTAGTTAACACAATTTAAAATAAGCTGTGCTCACTTGTTGTGCTCTAAAATTACCTGCTTTTTAAATTTAGGCAGTGTTACAGAGGTGTCTGGTATGCCAAGTACACGTTAACGGTGTTATTATCAGGTTTCTGTGCTATTTGTCAACTGTTTTTCAAGAATATCAGCTCCTAAGATAGTTACACATCTATATTTTTGTTTGAAATATCTCTATTTAAGTTATTTAAATGATGGAACGAAGTAAGAAGTTACTACTTAATAAGAAGCAAGCTGAATTGTAACTGCAGCTGTTACTACACAAGCACTTAAAACACTCTATATGTATTATAGTTCATTTGACTGTAATATTTAGTTAACTGTATCTTATGAAGTAGTAAATGAGCATTTAAGTGTTAGCATTTTTCTACTAGTACTTAAGATCAGTATCTTGTTGTGAGCCTACCAGCAGTTTAAAAAAATAAACCTGTAGCTGAAAGTGTGTCAGTTTGTAGCTCTTGTAAGAACAGTTGCTGCCATCACTGAAATTGGGGGATGAGCTTAAAGAGCTGCTGTAATTGAAACATGGTGCACCACTCAAGATAACAGTGTGTGTTGCCAAAGTTCAGCTGTCCTTGTGATCAGAGTCTAAGGAAGGCCTGAAGCCTGCTAAAAATTGCCTTCAGCATTTCCTAGTGCGTGATACTGAGCTCACATCTGCCCATTTTCAGTGGAGCCCAGCAGCAGCTCCCCCCCTCTGGTGACAAGAACGTCCTTTAGATGAACTGGCCTTTCTCTGGCTGGGTTGCAAATGTCTTTAGAATCATCCATTGCATAGGAAGATGTGCTGGAAGGGGAGATGCTTGCCCTTGCATACCTGCTGGGAGAGTTGTTCTGGCTGTGCAGGGTGGATGTAGCAGGCATAGAAACAAAGGTGAAAGCAGAGCAGAAGAAGGGAAGCAATGACACTAACAATGCTATTGTGGTTGTTAAACAGCAGTTGGTGTGTGTTTGTCACGGGGTACAGATGGGCTGGAATTGTAAAACTGTTTTACTTTTTCTAGTTGTAATGAAGCAAGAGCACCGAGATGAGGTGGATTTGTCCGCTGTTCCATCCTTGGCACTGCCGCATGCGGGCAGCGTCCAGGGCCTGCACTCAATGCGAGCCCAGCTGCCTTCACCGGAGCAAGGGCACCCCCACGACAATTTGCTGTCTTCGTCACCCAGGAGCCTCGTGTGTCCCATTCAGCCACCCTACACCATGGTGACCTCGGCAGTGCCACACATGCCGCGTATGCAGGGCAGAAACCTCAGTCCAAGTGAAGAGTGTCATGTTTTGCCTCCTGCCGTGGTTCAGTCTTTTCAGGTAACATCAGCACCTCCTGTGAGGCCTTCTTACCAGCCTATGCAGCCTACCGATGTGTACAGTGGACAGCCTGGTCTTCCCATGAACTCTGCCTCCGGCCAAGGCTTTGATGCGATTTCATTTCCGCAGGACGCGGCTGTACCTCATTTGGTAAATCTCAGCTGCCAAGCTCTACCACCAGTGCAGTTCCATTCTTCAAATCCAGGTTCCGTGTCAGCATCAAGTCCAGCAGGACACCCCCTGGCACACGCAGCTCATTCGGGACAGTCATCTGCTCACCTGCCATCGATGGGATACCACTGTCCGGGCGCCGGGCAGGGCTCCATCCCCTCTGCCGTGAGCCGCTCCCTGGGCCAGGCCTCTCCGCAGCTGCAGCAGGTCCCGTACCACTCTCCGAACCCAGCGGCCGCTTCCTCCCCGTCCCCGACGGCTTCCCACCCGCTGGGCCACTCGCCGCTGTCCGGCCCCTCTTCCCCCCAGCTCCAGCCTCTGCCTTACCAATCTCCGAGCTCAGGACCCGCCCCGTCGCCGCCGCCCGGAGGCCGCTCGGGGCAGCAGTCGCCGCAGGCCGCCAGCCCCGCGCTGGGAGCCCTGGGCACGGTGTCACCCCTGGGGCCCCACGCCGTGTGTGACTCTTCTCCCTTTGCACCCGAGGGGGCAGCTGTGCACATCAAACCAGAGCCTGAAGACCGGGAATTGAATTTTCAAACCATAGGACTACAAGACATCACGCTAGATGATGGTAAGTGGATATTATATTGCAATAGTGGGGTTATAATGGGCATTAAACTACAAGTGGGTGTGGGAGGGTTTTTTTTGTTTAGAACACACTGCTCTTCACAGAAGGGAATTTATATCAGTCATGGAGTCATATTTTTGTGTCCAAAGCAAAAACTTGTCTTAAGCTAATTATATCTATCGGCTGTTAATTCGTAGTCCTACAATTCAAGCATTTTAGTCTCATTTGCCCAGAGATTTTGGTTTTGTCACCCAAAGCAACAACTTGTCTTAAGCTAATTATATCGGCTGTTAATTCGTAGTTCTACAATTCAAGCATTTTAGTCTCATTTGCCCAGAGATTTTGGTTTTGTCATAAAACAAGGCTTGAGGATCAACTCTTACACATTGACACCTTGTATTCAAGAAAGTCATTTGAAGTCTTTTCTGATTGTGTCACTGATATGTTTCAGTAAAAGTCATAACACGATATCTGCATTGCATAGATGTAGTTTGGAGTCTTGTTTCTTGGAGTTGTCCCAGTTTTGAAGGGCAGGCTGGTGTTTTGATAATCTATCACATGCATTTTGGCACTGTCTTGGTCTCTTCACAGACATTCTGTAGATACCTGTCATCATTCAGCACCTCTGCTCACAGTGGCTGTTTGCTTTCTCCACTCTGACTGCCTTTTTGAGAAGTTCACTCGTTTAACATAAACAGAACAAGGACATTGTAATGGCCACAACAAGGCCAGACTATAAAGGGCTGTATCATAAATATTTGGACAATTTTTTTAATTTAGTTATTAATTAAATAATTATTTATAATATTTTCCAACCAAATTAAAAAAAATCAGATCGTAAACATCAGACTATTTGAGGTGTAGATGCAAAGCAATTTAAAGAATATGTCATGCTAATAAAGGCTGGAAGAGCAGAAGGCCTGGCCTTAAAAGTTGTGTAAAATGTGTTTTGTTTTGATGAAGGGAAACATGCCAGTGTCTCTTTTCTAAAGTAGCCATAAATGTTGTGGTTTGGGGTTTTTTTAACCATCCCTGGTAATTACTTAATTGCATCAGCAGTAGAATAAAGACTTAAGTGTAGGCCATCTGTTAAGTATCTGTGTCAGTCCCAACTCCCTGCATAAATGGAGCTTTGCTATTGTTACCTCCAGACAGAAGTAATAAAATTTAGTAGAGAAATGCCTTTAAAGACATGGCATAGTAGGAAGAAAACGAGAGAAACCAGTCTAGTTGAGCTTTCAGTTCAATAGCCACCTTAATTAAACAAAGCTCTCTTTTTAGAAACACTGTTTATCAATCAACTTAAGTTTATTTAGAAAGGAAGGAAGAGACTGATTCTGTCAAGGACTTGCTGAGGGGAGAAAAGCAAGGCTTTATGAAACAGCATGCAGCAAAAAGATAGCATTTTATACTTCTATACAGAGGAATGAGAAGAAATCTAATGTTTCAAGAAGTGTCAGGTTAGAACCTGCCTTTTTCTTATCCTTCTTCTCTCCACACCCACAAAAAAAAGTAGAAAGAAATAAAATATAACTGAATACTGTAGTTAGACTGTTCACAAAGTAAGCAGAAATGTTTAGCACTTACAAACATCTTGGCAGTTTATAATGGTTCAGAAATGAAAATGGATGCACAGTAAAAAAGTTTTTTCTCTCTGTCACAAGTATTTGTTGCTGTTTGATACTATTTCCTTTGCTTAGCACTGAAAGTACTGCCTCGTTCCTGTGCTGACAAAGCCATGGAATCACAGGAGAAGCTTTGGAGCCCCACTGGAAGCGTGGCCACTTGCTGATGGCTTAGGGTTCAATGAACATGGGAGTCAAATGGCCACAGCTTAATTAACTTCTTTTTTTAAATGATTGTGCAGAAAATTAAAGAAGTTCTGATAACTGCTGATAACTTCATGTATGGAAAACTGAACATGGATTTAAATGCTGAACTTGCCCTTGGCAGCAGCACTGGGTTTGTGAGCAGTGCCTTTCCCTTCCGTGTTGCCGCCGTGCGATGATTTCCTGGGGGTTGGGTTTGGGGCTTGTTTGCATTTCCAGTCTGCAAATACAAATCAGATGTTGAGCATGAAACCTGCTGTTCCAAAACTCTGGAAGGGTTCAGTGACAAGAAGCAAAGCTGCTCAGTTCTCTCAATGTGAGTGAATACTTCCTCTGCTTAATCAGCTTTAAGGAAAAAAAAAAAAACATGTTTAGACAAGAACACTTTTTTCAATAATTTATCTGACATATTACTCTGGTTTAAAAAACAATTCTAAAATTTCTTTTTTTTTTGTATAATTGAATTTTTCTGTACAAATAGCACCAAGCACAAATAGCAAATAGGCTATTCTACAATAATGTTATAACAATTAAAGAAAAAAATCCAAACATAATTACATACATAAAATGAGTGTTGATACAATATATTCTCCCAAGTAATACATCAAATCTGAAAGCTCTACTTAGTTGGAAAATAGGTTTTTGAAGGTTACCAATTAAGGCAAATAAACCTCTCAAAATAAAACACTAAGGCAAAGCCAGTTGAAAATTCTTTAAATCATGTCTGGATTACCAGCCTTAAATATTTAAATCAGTAGTCTTAAAATAAACAAAAAACTCTGAGAGCATAAATTATCTTCTTTCTTTTAAGTAATGTATACTGTTTCAAATTTAAACCAGTATCTATTTCTTTGCCAAGAAAATAAAATATTTCAAGAAATATTTTACAAAATTTCAGTGTAGTATGGAAGTGCTACCCCATGATAAAGTAAATCACAGAATTACTGTGTAGATTGACAGAATGGGATTTAAAATTCTTAAAAACAAAATCCCAATTAAAAAACCCACAAAATTGTGAAACCCCACCCCACCTCCAGGTGTGGCTGTGTGGATAACAGTTACATAAATTCATTTAAGTAAGACCCCTAGAAATGACTCTTACTGCCTCTTCAGCCAGCATTAAGGTGTTTTCTTAAAAATACACCAAAACTGCCTCCAAATCACTGCATAATACAGAACCACAAAGTGACTCCATCCATCAGTGCTCAAGTCAAGAGCACCTGGATTAGTCTTGATCCAGCATCTCCTGGAAAGTGTAACACATTTGCAGCTTCCCTGCCAAGTCCAAGGTGTTTGCCAGTGACCAGATGGAGAATCTTTTGAAATGCTGTTGTATTCCTCTGCCCTTTCCCTGGGCTCTGTTCAGACTGTGGTTGAACACAGGTTACGCAGTGGAAGGGCAGATCCTGCCCATGTGTCTGACAAAGGACTTTCCTTTCCTTCCTGCTTTTTTTCCCCCCCATACTGAACTTTGTGTGACTCTTCATTGTCATGTTTTTCAGGAGAACCTTGCTGATATCCTTAGACCTTTCTAATCTCCACCTTGAATTTGCTTTTATGTTTTGTTTCCCCTCTTCCTATCCTTGCATCCTACAGTGAACACCTAATTCACTTGAAACAAGGGATCAAAATGCATGAGGTCGCATAGATACAAAATTCAAATTACATTATAAAAATATTTGAAACAGAACACAATTTCAAAGTAGTATTGTGTGCTACTATTTCAAAGGTATTCTGAAGAAGTTCTCCTTTCTGCTTAGGTTTGGCAGTTGTCAGGCTGCACAAGCTCAGAAACTTTTGGGCTGGAACTAACTAAAAGCAGCTTCATGCACTTTTATTTGTCCCCTCCACTTTTTCTATCCCTTGGTGTGTTGGATCTTTATTCTCTTAGCATCTTTCAGCAAGTCAGGCCTCTGGCCAACACCTCAGGTTAACATTTCCCTGGATAGACAGTGGAGTTTTAGGGCTGCAAATAGGTATAAACAAGGGGGCTGAAGTGGCAGCAAACAGGCAGCTGGTCATTTCTGGCCTTGCCCATATCCATCGTCCATACTGGGCTCTGCTGCACACCCATCTAATAAAGTTTCTTCCCCACTTGAAAGAAAAGCTACTTAAAGTTAGACTCAGTCTGGTTATATGAGGTCTCATTAATCTACCCCCTCTGTTTTTAAAAAGTGCTTCTCATGTAGTGGTTTCCCTATTCCCAATATCAGGTTTTAGGTTTAAAACTGTTCCAATACTGTTGATCTCAAATTTAGTCTTTTGTGGTTTGCAGTTTAGGAGGGAGTTTACCTTGGATTTCATGGCTTTCTACAGTGATGAGATTTCTAACATGTACACCTGTATTTAACCATTTTTAAGGTGTTGTTTGGCTGTGTTCAGCAAATCAGGATGACCTTCTACTAATCCTCTTATATTTTGTTACTCATTGCATCTCCATTACATAAAGCTGGAGATTAGAAAATCCAGTATGTGCATTTACTATAAATCATAACCAGAAATCCCCTAAGCACTTGGTGTATATAAAGCAATAAGGCTGTTTGTCAGACACATTCCATGTAGAACTCTAAGCTGCTAGCATTCATTCATTTTAATAGTTCTGTGATAATTCTCTAGCTTATAAATTCTCTTCCTGGGAAGCTCAGATTATTCTGATCTTGCTAGAAGACTTGTACCTCTTTGAAGGCAGCTTTTTAACTGTAGCTTCAGCTTAATTTCTGGAGAATCAAAGTGGTGAGTAACAAGAAAGTATTGGAGAAGGACTATACTTTGTGTTTCTGTCTATATTTAAAACTTATTCGTCAACAGATCAGTGTTAATTAAGGCAGCATCCTGCCATTGGAGTTCTGCAGAAGCACAGAAGGTACTGAATGCTGGAGTCTGGTGTAGCGTGGAGGAGAGCAGCTCAAACTTGAGATGTGCATCTCAAATCCAAGGTGTCTTTATTGTCTCCTGAGTACAGAGCGAAATGTTGCACCTTGCAGTGTGTCCAGCAAGGCCAGGGACTCTGACCTACACTGTGCCTGGAACTGTCAGAGCAATCCTGCACTAAAAGGCATTCTCAAAATTCTACCAGTGTAGACTGTTCAGTAAAGTTGTGTTCGAAGTCCTCCTTTCTTAGCATTCTGACTGTTAAATCTGTATTGTCAAGCAAGATGAGACAGCAGTAAAAAGCAATCCTGCAGTGGGATGTTGAGGTGATAAGGCAGAACCTGAAATGTATTGAAAGAGAATGGAAATCTACTTTGAGAAATGTGTGTTATGAACAAAATGTTGATCCAGACCGAGCAGTAGTCTAAAAGCTGAAGGGTGGAGCAGTGAGCAAAGGTGAAATGTTTTGCATCAGGGCTTGTCAGCAGTTAAAGGGTGCTTTGACCGTATCTTCTAAGGGATTCACTCACTGTGTCCATCAAATTTGTGTCACTGAGGCATCCCAAGAAGACCAGTTACAGATTTCTAATGTGTAAAATTGTCAGCTAAATCCTCAGGTGTCTGTGGCCAGCTTCCCTGGGAGAGCCACAGAACATCTTGTAACTAATGCAAAGTAAATTCAACTGACTCACCACTTCAAAAGATTCCCATTCAAGAATTAGAAGAGGTTAGAGACTTCTTCCATCAGTGCAGGTGACACTTCTGCACCAAGGTGTGGCTGCTGGCAATCGCAGCAGAACTGGAGGGAGCTCAGTGCACCTTGTGACCTGGAAAAAATCCACACAGACCCTTCAGCACCACTTTCCACTGCACAGCCCGTGTGTCCTCTAGAGCCAAGGCTTGTGCTGAATTCTCTGTCAGACTCAGCTCTCTTCTTCTGTGAGAGAAAAGGTTTCACCAGGATACAGAAATGCAGAGTGTGACAGCATAGCCAAGCCTTGAGCAGGGTATTTGTTACTGTGGCAGATAATTGCAGAGCTGGTGCAGTGATTCTGCAGGCACATTTTGTTTTTCTGTACATAATGTGCACAGGAGAACTATACTCCAACATTCCATGCAGTTAATTGAAAAAAATAAAATAGTACTCCTTAGTGAAGTTAGCATTAAACCTGAAATTACTGAAAGCAAGCCTGGCCTAGGGCTTGGAATGGTGACTGCAAGGCAGCCCCCCATGTCTGTGGTAGTTTGCCACAGCAGCCATGGCCTGACATGTGACAGGTTTGGTTTCAGAGCAGCACCATCAGCTGGCTGCTCCAGCACAGGCAACTGAGGGTTAATTAGAGCCTGGCAGCTTCTTCTTTTTTGTTAGGGAAAGTTGACACTTGCTGGTCATGTGGAGTCAAAACCAGGCTAAATATACTGCACTAAGCAATGTGACTTAGTTGAAGAGATTCTTCACATAAATTCAGCTGGTAGAGTTGTGTCTGGAGCTGACACAAGGAGGTATATGTCCTAGGAAATGTGTGCTGCACTCTGTCCATAGGTTTCCTTGAGGCTTGCTGATTCTTGTTACCTCTGTCAGGAGAGCAATTCACTCACCTGTCCTCTAAAACACACAGTTTGGATCAAACTTCTTTTTGCAAAGCATATTAAAAAAATTCCCCTCTTGCTGCTCACTGAAGCAGCACTGCAGACAATCATGCATTCTAGAATATTCTGGGAGATTTAGTCTTCTAAAACCAGTATGTCTTCTAGGTTATGTCCCACAGCCTGCACATCCTGCTCCAGTTCAGCAGCAGTCAAGGCTACACAGGCTAAACTTTTAATCAGATAGTGCTGCAAAAACAGGAAGTTTATTGACTTCTGTAGGAGGAGATCCTGAAAACCAAGTGCGATGACTCCAGGAGCTCTTTGGTCTGCCTGTATCCATAACAGAACTCTAATTTTAAGTCGACTTCTTGCTTTGACCCAAACCAGGTGCTCATAATTGGAGGTTTAAAGCTTTTCTTAAGCTTCTTTAAGTAAAGACTGAGTCAGGACAATGAGGTCATTCAAAAAAGTATGAATTTTTGATCAGTTAAACAGATCTACTGGGTGTTATTTTTCTTGATTTTTGTTTCAACTTCCTGGTTTTCATTTTGGCTTTATATTCTTTGGGTACAGAAAGCTTTCTCAAAAGTTAAGGTATTACAAAGTATAAAGGTATTTTTAATATATATTTTTCTGGTACCTCAAGTTCTGCCTAATGTGTGTGTAGAACAGAATCTTTGTGCTGTATCACACAGTTGAAAAGGCTGCCGTTTTATGTCCCACGTTTCCCAGGCAAGAAGCAGTGTGTGCCTGAGGGCAGTGCATGCTCTGTTCCAGAAGGTGCTGGCTGGAGATGCTGTGTGTGCTGTGCATGGCACAACTTGTCAGGGATTGATAAAAGCAAACACTCACCACTGTCAGCAGCTTTGGTAGTGCACGCAAGA